TATATTTTCAAATTGAGACCCCAAATTTCACAATAATCCGATTTCATAATCAGCCGCGACAAAAACTTTCGTAACACATTTTCGACAAATATTAATAAAATCTTGATTTCTTTTGGAATCTCGAGTTACATTTTAAACCAGTTACAAATTCTTGATCATATCTAACTTTTTTAATCTTAGCCCTATTCGTGCACATGTTTATTCTAAAGGTCTAATTATATCTAGTGCTTTCTTTATATTTGTTTTTGTCAAAGTTTATTGGTTGACAAGAACATAGGTTTCGTACGTACGTATGTACGTATGTACGTACAAACTAAACACACTAAACATGTTGGGCATAATAATTTGTAGAACAAATATATTTTTTACGGTGCAAATCATCTACGTACGTCTACCGATCTTGTCGATCAATAACTTATCGAGTCTGCCAAACTAATAAATAGCTATAAGTGAAAATTTTTATTAATGAAAACAAAGATCATTCCCGGTACGTATCGTTACAGTCTTAAATTCTTTTTAGAATAGGTTAGATTTGTACTACACGTTGATGGAATATCGCAGTAAAGATATATTTTTAGAATAGACCTTGTTCAAAAGTTTGTTTCGATAATTCTTTCTAGAATTTATATATAGATAACAGCAATAATTTAATAATTTAAGATTCTAATTCTACAAGTTTGTAGAATTTTGAAAGAGTTCTAAATCACCAAAATTAAGTTATTCATGATTAAAGTTATTATCTCTGCTGAATAATAAAATTATTGGGTAGTAAATCGTAGTAAACTGTCAGATAACAATTTTTTTGTATATAGCAATTATATCATAATTATCTACTACAAGAAAACAATCACTTTTAATTCTACAGTGGTAGTAAATCGAATCGGCTTTTGGTCGTGACAAACATTGTTAATAAAATTTGGAACATCAGTAGGTCTTAGTTATTTTCTGATGTTGTCACTGATGGATTCACCGACTTTTAATTCTAACCAACGCATAACTTAAATCAAGCTAACCCTATCTATCAATTAATTGTCGATAAAATGGTTGCCGGGAAAATGAGATCCATCGGTAACTAATATATATTCCGTAATTTAGAAGTTAAAAATTTTCAGACATAATACGATAACTTATTTCTAAAAAACTAAAGGGTAAATTGTTTTTTATTTTTTTTTTGCTGACCCAAATTATCGATATATGACTTCGATGTAATTTTCATTGAAAATAAAAAAGCTCTACAAATGTATAAATTAGTAAATATAGTTAAGATTTTCCTGCAAAATTAGGGCTTCATGCACAAAGACGATATACATACGTACGTACGTACAAACACTGAAAAAAAAGACGATTAAAAATAGTAATATTTTCTCTGGAATTTCATATACGTATGATAATTCAATAAGGATTCATCAGCTTCATGTTTATTTGGAGATTAATTCAATCATAAATTCTCATAATTTGAATAAATACTACGTACATACTGTACGTACTGTACGTAATACGTAATACATTTGTATTAACAATATAAAAAAATAAAATGTATCGGTATTACCAAATACCACCATTATGTTATTAGTATTGGTACTTACATGTCCAATTGTTTAATTACGTGTTACCAAATAAAATTTATACATTACCTATGCATCTCTTTCAGGGTTTAAATTTCAAAAGTTGCTTTCGTTTTATAAAGTCTTTAAAGACCATATCACTCCTTTTCTTAACTATCATCATCGAGGTTCGTGCCTAAAATAGTCTACCGGTAACAGCCAATAAAACGTGAGTATGGCATTTTGTCTAAAATAAAAAGATTTGATAAATACTTAAAAAGAATGCTCGAATTATATGTAACTCATGTTTTATTTTGATTAAAATATTTATAATTATGTCGATGTTTGAAACAAAAGTATTTGTAACATTGGCGACCTAATAGATTCATTTTTTCTTTACTACCGAATCATTCCACACCACTCTTTTCGTTTATAAGGTTAGGAACTACATCAGGGATGTCAGTTTCTAGCACCGCTGCTGCTGCGATGGCCAGTTTGGCTTCTCGTATTGCTGCTTTAGAAAATGAATTAGAAACGGAAACGGTAGACAAAGACACGACTGATAAGATAGACCTTGATGATTATATGGACTCTAACTCCCAAAAAGAAAAAATGCATCTTGATGATTACTATTCAGATCTTAGTTCTCCATCAAATGGTTCTTTAGAAAATTTTTCTACTTCTACTTCGATTTCTCGTCATTCGGATCTTACAAAATCTGATCAAAATTATTCTCAACCTTCGGGAGTACTTGATCGTCTTAGTAGTAGTAGATCTACTTCTCGTACTCCTTCTTATGATATCAGTCAAAGTAAACATAATACTGTGTTGGATGAATCTTTGAAAGCTCAACTTGAGAAAAAGCATGCTGAAGAACTTGAAAAGGTTAGACAAGAATTGGAAGATACAAGAAATAAACATTGGAGTGAATTACAAAAATCTAAAAATGATCTTGCTGAACAATATAAAGAAAATGAACGTATACGACAAGAATTATTATTAAAACATGAAAATGAAAAAAATTTATTAAAAAAATCTCATGATGCTGAAAAGGAAAAAATAATAGCTGAATTGGCGACTCTTTCACAGTTAAAAAAACAAACAGAAAATGATCTTAATAAAATAAAAGAATCATTTGAAAAAGAAAAACAATTAATTCTCCAACAACATGAGAAAGAAAAAGAAACTTTAAGATCTGAACATTCCGCAAGGTATAGTAATCTATCAAAATCACATGAAGATGTCGAATTAAAAATAAATAAGTTAGTAAGTCAACATGAAGCAGAAAAAAAAGATTTAGAAAATAAATTATTACTTGTCCATCGGTCTGAAAAAGATAAACTTTTAGCTGAAATAAAACAAAATGAAGAAACTAAATCCAAATTAAATGATCTTCAAATTGAACATGATCGCACTCTCAAAGAATTGAAAGAACTTACAATAAATAAAGAAGATGCTAAAAAAACTATCTCTAATCTTGAGCATCAATTGAGTAATATGTCAAATCTGGAGGTAACATCTAAAGAGCTTCGTAAACAACTTGATGAAGCAAATAACGAATTATCTAATATACGTCTCAAACTTTCAAGTCAATTAAATGAAAAAAAAAATTTAGAATCTGAATTAGAAAATATTCGAACTAAGTTGAATGATTCAAATGATAAAATTAAAAATTTGGAACTTCAACTTGAAATAATCACAAAAGAAAAAGATAATAATTCTTCAAAACATGCCAATGAAATAGCAACGTTACGTATTGAATTCGAAAATTCTTTTAAAAGTGCAACCGAAAAACTTCAAATAAAGCATGATGAAGAAATGTCTGAATTGCATAATAGCTTGGACTCTACTCACAAGACCGCTCTTGAAAGTCTTCGAAAGCAAATGTCTATACAACGAGAAGAACAAATTGTTGCGATTCAAGCAGAACATGATCAAAGAATTAAATCTTTAAAAAAAAGATCATGAAGAAAAAATTACAGCACTTGAATCTTTGAAAAAAGAACATGAAGAAAAGATTACTAAATTTGAATCTTTAAAAAAAGAACATGAAGAAAAGATTGCTGAATTGATTAATAAAAATGAATCTCTTCTCTCGGAAAATGCATTATGTATTCGAACGATTGAAGATGCTACCCGTCGTTATGATGAGTTGAACAATAAACATATACAATTTACTCAGGAAAATCTTGAAATGTCAAGTGATCTTCTTGAACTTCGCAAGAAGATAGAAGAATTGGAACACAAGAATCATTATTTAGAAAAAGATAAAAGTACAGTTTCTAACGAAGTAGGCAATGTATCTCAGGAAAAAGAACGAATAATAGCAGAACTAAATGCTGCAAAGGATGAAAAACAACAATTACACGAAGAAGGATTATCATTAAAAAGTGAATTAGAGGAATTAAAGGGTGAGCGGGATAAATTAGCTGGTGTTATTAATATTATGAAGGAAGAATGGGAAAAGGAATATCAAAAACTTAAATTGGAAAAAGAAAAGGCCGAGAATGAATGGGAAAATCAATATCAAAAACTTAAGTCTGAACTTGATCGTATAAAAGGAAATTCAAATGAAGAGAATGAATTTAATCAACTGAAACGTGAGACGAAAGAAATTAACGAAAAACTCAAGACCGTGCTGAATGAGAAGAACGTTTTAGCAAAAATTTGCGAAGAGCATGAAGACAACATGCAGACGCTCGAAAAAAAAACTGCTAACGAACGTGAAACTTGGAAACAGAAAGAGATGGTACTACTTAAAAAAGAAACTGAAATAAAGGATTTACGTCAAAGATTACTGAAACTTAGTAAAGTAGAAGACGAAAAGAAGCGTATTGAAGCTGAACTGAACAAAAAATTAGATGAAAATTCAAGGTTATTAGATCAATTATTTAATGTGGGAAGCTCACGTTCTAATGGGGGAGAAAATGGCACCAGCTATGAAGCTCTCCAAATGAGATTAGATGATGTCGAAATTGAATCAAGTATGAAAGACTCTCAAATATGCGAACTAGAAATCACAAAACAGAAGCTGCAAACACGCATTGAAGGTCTTGAAGCATCAACTGCTCGTTTAACTGCCAAGTTACAAGAAGCTAGTGCGGATTCCAATCGAATAAGAAATCAATTAACTAATTCGCACATTGAAATTGAAGAACTTCACACCCATATTACTAAACTTAAAGAGCAACTTATTGGGAAAACACATTCGGCCGGTACGCCCCAACAAAACATAAACAATGATGATGCACGTAAGTTGGCCGATGCTGAACAAACAATCAAATCATTAAAAGAAGAACTTGAACAATATAAAATTTCACAAGTTGACCTTGAACAGAAACTTTTATCACTCAACAAAAAATTACAAGCAGCTGATGATGAACTACATGCAAATGTACGAACATTTGAGCAATTAATTGCACAAGCAGAAAAAACCTTTCGAGGTAAGATTGAAAAAATGCAAAGAGAACACACTCAAGATAAAGAAAAAATGCAGAGAGAACATCAGAGTACTATTGGCATGTTTAATAAACAAAAAGAGGAAGAAATTGCCCAAATTAGCAAAACAATGCAGATGCGTGTGGAAGCTCTTGAAAAACGTCATAGGGATATTTCAGCCGCTGAATTTAGTGAGAACAATGGTTCTAATTCGAAGAGAGTTTTAATATTGGAACAAGAAAAATCCCAATTGGAAAATTCATTAAAATTATCTCAATCAGAGTGTGCACGGTTAAATGACACACTTAAACAATTACAAATGGGATATTTGGATGCAGTTAATGATAAAGATTTGCTGACAAATGCAAAGCGTGAAGTTGAAAAGAAGATTAAGGCCATGGAGGCTGAGCTACAAGAGGTAAATACTTTGTGTTTTCTCTTGAACCTATTATTATAATTCTAAAACTTGCCAATTTTTAGGTCAAAAATGAATCAAATAAGAAAGAGACTCAGTTACGCGAGAGAGAAACTCAGATACGAGAAGTAAGTAATCTTATTGCAATCCTTGCATAAAAAGTTGCTTATAACTTACATAAAATTTTCTTGTAGCTTTCCGCAAAAAATATGGAATTAGTTGTTAAAATGAGTACGAAATGAGTGCGAAAAGCATAGTCTTTTTATAATCGGCTATATATATATCTTAAACTTGTTTTTGTAATTTAATTATACTTGTAAAAAAACAAAAAAACTGTATTATTCATGTATACATAATAATTCGAATTAATGTTAATTCTTAATTTTATTTCTAATGTTTCAAGGATAAACGTTGTGAGAATGGTCTTTTCACATAAACATCCAATAAATTCACTAGTTTACAACAAAATATTGAAGACATTTTGCCATTACGATTGTATGTAGTTAAAACAAAGCCCGTTTTTCAAAACAATAACGGTAAACTTAGTTATCGACCAATCCTAATTTGATTTGTTATCAAAAATACTGCGTGTTATTCGAATTAAGTAATCATTTATACTAGTTTGGTAAAAAAATATTAATGTTAACGTTAACGTTAATTACATACGTATGCTCATTTAAATATTAACATATATGGTTTGTATATCGTGATACGAATGTATGTAACATAACAGTTTTTAAAAAATGTGGACAAAACACCTTTGACCAAATATGCCACGAGTTGATCGTCAAAGATGTGTTTATCGTTTATTAAACCACGTTATACGGATATCGATATGCCAAAAGAATTTAGATAACTGGGCGCAGTAATTAAAAAACGGAATACGGAACGTATGTATACTATATCTTAATTTATTTCTGAGCGGTAATACATGATGTGATTAAAAATTCTGTTTATAAATCGCTACGTTATAGTCTACACAAAAAATGAGCCATGGACACTAATATGTTATTGTTATTGGAGAACTTATCAGAAAAACTTGGTAAAATGCTTAAAAATGCCGATGATTTTAATACAATTATTCGAGTTGGGCAGGATCCAAATGTTCAAACGTTTCATGCACATTCTAATATCTTAAGAGCATTGTCACCTTACTTTAATAAGGCGTTATCGAAGGATTGGGCAAAAAAAGAAGGTTTTGTTTTATCAACTTGATCTACTTCAACTCATATTTTGATTGATAATATTTAATTAAAATTTATTTCTCATAAAAGGTGAAATGTTTGTTTTCGAAAAACCGAATGTTTCGCCATCTTGCTTTGAGACAATACTTAAGTAAGCCTTTAATTGTTTGAAATTCATAATTCGTTAATCGATGATTAGTTAATAAGTTGAATGAAATTCTTTTCAGGTACATATATACAGGAACGTTTAATCCGGATGAAAAAGATACTCAGGAAATAATTGATATTATTATTGCCTCGGATGAATTTATGCTTTCCGAATTCATCTCTTCCATAGAATCATATCTCATTGAAAAACGCTCCGATTGGTTACTCTCCAACATTGAGTCAATTATTCTAACATGTTCGCAACATTCTACCTTGACAAAGCTTCGGGACTTTTGTTTTGAGGAACTTTGTGATGAACCTCAAAGGATTTTTAATTCACCAAATTTCTGTTTGTTAAATGAATGCTTTTTGATTTCTTTGATTCAAAGAAATGATTTAAATATGAACGAAATTGAAATTTGGGAGATCTTGATCCGTTGGGGAAAAGCTCAACTTGCATCAAATTTAAAATTGGATGATTCACGAGATGTTACTAAATATAGCCAGGATGATTTCACAACTTTGGGAAAAGCCATTGAAAAAATTTTGCCTTATATACGATTCGACCATATTTGTCCATCAGATTTTAGAGAAAAAGTCGTTCCCTATAAATCTTTAATATCTAGTGATGTTTACGAAGAAATTTTGTGGAAGTATATAATTGATAGCAAATTCAAATTGCCACCTTCGTTTCAAAGACGTATCGGCTGTATAAATTCTAAAATAATCAAGAAAAAACATGCCGCCTTGATTGCAAGTTGGGTCGATCAAAAAGACAGTGCGTATACTAATGATACAATACCATACGAATTTGTATTGGAAATTCGAGGCACGCACGATGGGTTTTCTTATGAGACATTCAAATCCAAAGGGGATAATATAACTAATACAATTATTGTCGCACGAGTGAAGAATAGCAAAGAAGTAATTGGCGGATACAATCCTTATATTTGGAGACATGATCGGTGGAAAAGTTCCGAAGACTTTTGGAGACCTGATTTTAGAAGTTTTATATTCTCATTTCCTGATGGCGAAACAGCAAATAATGCAATTTTAAGTAGAATTGCTCCGTATTATACCAAGTATGCAATGTATATTAGAAAAAATAGCGGACCAGAATTCGGAAATCAAGATTTTTATATGAGCGATCGTTTCGACTTGAAAACTGGTGTAAGATGTAGGAAAACATATTATTTAAAGAAAATACGAGACAGTGAAGAGTTTTTTGCAGTGGATGAATATGAATTATTTAGATTGGTTAGAAAGTGACCTCAGCTTACTATGCATAAATATGGGATTTTATGATTTAATTTATTTTATAAAGATTTGCCTTCTTGTTATTTTAAAACTAAGATTAGTGTCTCGCTCATATCAGTGTTGGCCGATGACCCTAACGATATAATGAATATCGATATGACTTAATACAGTAAAAAAAAAAAAATCTCTTAACATGACCAGCACGACTTATGACTAAAAAGTCAAAAAATCATATTAAATATTGTATTTAGACAGTGTTGTTCACTGGAACGATCCAGTGGGAATCACTGAGAACTAGATCACTGGACTTAATGGGACGGAATTGGAAGCATAATAGCTTCCAGTAAAGGTTTTTCGTTCACTGGATGGAAGTCTAGTGGCTTCCAGCATCAGGAAATTTTGAAGTCTGATTATGATCGGTTGCAAGCAATTAATTGATTATAATCGATTGGCTTCAAGCGATTATAATCGGCGGTGGTGTTGATAATCGATTCATATCAAAATTGATAATAACGATAATTGATATAAATCTATATAAATATCAATTGATTATAATCGATAGCTTGCTATATATATCGATTATAATCGGGAAATCGTTTAAACTCCTTAGATTTTAATCGATAATAATCTAATTTTAATATTTCCTGATGAGTGGCTTTCTCATAGAAAGACTTTCATATAATTGGCTGTTTAAATCAATTTAATTTTATATTCTTTATACAGTTTAAAATACAGTATTTTTTAAAACAAACTACAAAGAATAAATAAAACTAAGTATATAGAAAGTCTCATTATAACTCAACAATCAAAATCCTCTTTTAGCATGATGATAACCTATTTTTCAGAAGTCGTTATTATGCCAAATTCTCTAAACAAAAAGAGATTTTGATGATTTTTAATAGTGGGTCCTATAACCCTAATAAACCTTTCTATATACTTTTTTTATTTTTTGTAATTTGATTTTTTTTAAAAAGTATTTTAAACTATATAAATTAAAATAAATTAAATTGATTTAAACAGTTAATTATATAAAAGTCTTTTTATGAGTGGTTTCTAGTTAGGGTGAATGGCACAGCTAAACAATTTGGCATACAATTAGCCAAAATTTATATTATACCACACTTTAAATTATATTATTTCTGTATTACTATTATGCATTAATATTTTTCTAATACAAATAAATTAAAATTAAAATTAGTATATACAGTATTTATATACTTAATAGATGATTCACCAGTCATCTGGAGAGCTATATGATGCAGATTATATAAAATTTATATATAAAATCTTCAAATAGTAAATGTAAAATATTATATTTAAAAATTTTTTTACTAAGTAAATTATTTTGGGGCTCTAAGTAATATTGTAAAACTTATTAAGATATATTTAATAGTAGTGAGAGTAGTAAAATTGATTATAATGAAAGTTTGGTTGCCGGTAATATCTATTTCAGATTTACTATATAGTGTTTAATCTTGAACATAGCAAGACAAAAAAGATAATAAATAGTATTTATACGTACTACATAGTATTGCAGTTCATATTTAGTCATACAAGCATTTATTCCTAATCTAGAAAATAATCTCTGTTACGTAATCATATCAACGGTATTAAGCATGATAATCAAGCTGTTAATTTGAAATAGATAGCTTCTAAAGAAAATGCTGAACATATTTCAAAATCCTAGTAAAAGCAAATCTAGAAAAGTGGTGCAAATGTCTTTGGATTAGTGATGATACCCGGGTTGAATATTACCCGGGTTATCTGCGGATAATCGGATATCCGGGTTGTAAACTCAGCTACCCGGATAAACATACCCGGATAATACCCGGGTAGACATACCCAGATAATCTTCGGGTAACAAAAGTTTGAATATTCATAAAGATTGTCCAAGCTAACTAAATGGAAATAAACTAATAATAAACTTAATATCTCAACATACTGTACAAAAAGTTATTTGTAAAATATTATATTTTCCTTGAAAGCTATGTGTAGAATTTTAGGCCTAAAAAGGG